GCAGCACAACTCTGCTACTCCGTAGCAAATATCCAGCTACTGTGCACCGCTCCTAAAATCTCCTGGGAGGAGTTTAATACATTTAAAACATAAAACGTCAGCGAAAGACCCAGTAGGATATAATTTGAAATGACTTAAAAATAAATGAACATATAAATGTGCGAGTAAATAAATAAATGGGTAAATGAATAAATAGACATTCAGTTCCAACAGACAAGCGAAAACTCACATCTTTTTTCTCAAAGGAAATAAATGTAAAATCTCCATATTACAGGCTTTAGCAAGTAATTAGTACAAATTACTTACCTAATCAAGTGCCTCGCCTACCTGGACCGAGTTTCGAATTCTGCCCCCGAGGATGCACTATCTGCATCCTATCTAGGCTTACAGCAATAGAATCTCTTACCAGTTCACAAGATCTCTTAGTTTAAGAAATCATTTATTAACTTTCTGAAATTGTTATTATGACCCCACGAACTACTCAAGCCGCGGGCCCCATGACTGGGCAAGCCATGAGGTTCCATGACTAGACAAGCTATGGATTCCATGGACAGAACAAGCCATGGATTCCATAAACTAAACAAGCCATGGTTTTCAAAGAGTTTTTCTTTCGCAAACCAACCCCTTTCTTTAAAACATTTCCAAGGTCAAAATTCTTTTAAAAATCAGGCTCACAAGGAAAAGGGATAGAAATCCTACCTCGCACTATCAAACCTGGGACTAGCGTTGCCTTTTTCGGCTTCTGCTACCTCAAGCTACTTCAGTCTGAATCCTCAGCGATCACTGATGCAAGATAACACTTTAGGATTAATTCTCATTCCTAAAGCAATCCAATCTCAATTATGTACCAAGATTTCCAATTAGTGTGCCCTAATCCATTTTCATGTTTCAAATTATCATTCCAAGGGTTTTCAATCTTAAATCAAGGATTAAAGATGCTAATCTATTTATCTCAAGTCCCCAAACGAAGCTAATTTGGGTTCTCCCCGAAAACATGGGTCAAAACAGCATTTTCATGCCAAACAGGGTCAAACCCCGTGTCAACCGGTCAACCGGTGACAGAACAGTGCATTACCACCGGTCAACCGGTGGTGTGCACTCTGGTCGACCGGGCAGGCCAATGCAATCTGGTCGACCGGTTACCATGTGATCCGGTCGACCAGACCAGTCAACTGGTGGAATTAGCTACGCGAGAGAAGCTCGCGGAAACCAGTCTAAAACCTGCAATCTCAGTCCCAAATCAAAATATTTCAAAGGAAAACCACTAGATCCGGGTTCTAGGTACTAAATCAAGTCCAAAGAACCCAAGATCTCCAATTTCTACCAAGGTTTTACTCAAAATCCGTAAAGATTCGTTTCGAACCAAAAATAAGTTTTTAAAATTTGAAAACTTGATATTCAAGAGAGGTCTTTTCAGTAATCTTACCTCGAATCATTCTCTTGACGTTGAAAACTTCCTTAAATCTTTCATTGGTTCGAATCCGGTTTGATTTGAGACAAAAACGAGGGAGAGAGAGTGAGTGGGAGAGAACGAGAGAGTGAGAGTGAGAGAGAGAGAGAGAGAGAGAGAGCACGGGAAAGGAAAGAGAAAAGGAAAAAGAAAGAGAAAAGGAAAAAGAAAAAGAAAAGGACATGTATACAATATTCTTAAAACAACAGTCCAGGAATGTGCCCATACACACTCCTGGGAAAAATATAAATACTGAGAATAATTTAAATACATTGGAACTATTTAAATTACACGTCAAAAACATTTATTAATCAAAATTCAATTAATTAAATCAGATTAGGCACACTAATAATCTCAATTACCTTAATTAATCTCATTTAATTCTTCAAGGTGTTACAAGTACCCTTTAGATTTGAGAAATACATACTTTCAATCTCATCACTCGCACACTTTTGGGCCAAAATCAGAACAAAACATCAAAACTACCACTGAATGGTATTTAAAAGACATTATACATATTAAAAAACATCAAAACTATAAAACAAATTAACATTATTATTTGAAGGAAGCACATTCATAATACTTTTGAAGCAAAACATAAAATTTTCTATAAGTACTTTTCACCCGTTTGGTTGGAGAATTCGTTCTCTGATTCGAATCATGATTTATGGTTCACTACAGTATTTTCTCTCACAAAAAATACACGTAAATCAAAAATAGTTCTAATCTCATGATTTTAATCCATGAACCAAACGGGAAGATTATTTTTATCTTTTCACTTTATTTTTTAGTTCAAAAAGTGCGGGAAGGATGAAATTGAAAGTTGTTTTTAAGAGTTAAATGATACTTTTAGAATAAATTGAGAAAAAGTTGTAACCGTTAAGTATGCATATGTAATTAACCTTCTTTTTTTTTTCTGCGTGTTTTCAACTTCTTAATATAATGCTCAATTATTAATCTATCATAAGAGAGAGCTTTCACGTTCTTTTAGCTTCAACATTCTATTCACGTTGTTAACACGGTGATCATCAGTTAAAATTCAATCCTGCCAAATCATAATAAGCATGAAATATAAGGAGGTTCACGAGATGATTGTATCTCCGATTCAGTTCCCTTTAACAGTCATTATCTTTTCACGTTTCTTTCTTGTGATTAATTAAAGAAAAATATTCTAGTTTCTAATCTTGAATTCCCGAGCTGACTTTTACTGCAATGTTAATCAATATTTTTTTTTTTGGAGCTATTTAACTCAGTACTATCAAAAGCCAAAAGGGGGAAAACCCATTAGGAGATTTTTTTTTTTTTGAAAGGTAAATTGGAGAAATGGATAAGAAGCTTTTGTATTTAGGTCAATTAATGGGATAATATTGGTCATTATATATAGTGGAAAAAACTAATTAAGGTTGATTTCTATAGTGTGAGCTGTATTAATAATCATGAACGTGGAACGCCCATAATTACCTAACAGCTAGGAAAAGGACGAAGTTGGCGTAAAGCTAGTCTAAAAAAAGAGTTTGGAGCATTATGATTCAATTTTATTCTGAAAAACGACGGTAAAATTGCATAAAGTTCAAGCGAATAATAAATTTCATTAATTAAAATGAGGTGGTCTAGTATTTGGAGTTTGCCAAACTTGTTGAGACTTTTAGCGTTACAACTTACAAGGTGAAGACTTTGGGCTTGGAGATATTTATTTCTCTATAAGAAAATTACAGATTCTACCTCTTTAAGTATCTGATTTACTAAATGTATCTTATTTAAAAAACTCTACTCTTTAACTAGTTCTTTTATCTGAACACTAAATAGCATTTTTATATCTGATAAATTATAGCATATCTCTCTTATTCATTTTGAAATAAATTATTCATTTCTAATTTTATCCACAATGTTTTCTTCGTTCTTTTTTCTGATTATCTTTCATATTACTTTCCCAAAAACTATCTCTCTGCCGTCTCTCTCTCTACAGCCTTTCTCTCCCTCTCTCCGTAAATCAGATGCAACTACGACCAGTGACGATGGCGACTTCCCAAAAACTATCGGGACTTGCCGTCGCGAAGCTTCTCCGGTGTCTGGCGCTGATGTTGCTGTGGTTTGTTTAGTTTTGTTGCATGTGTGGCCGGCATGTGTCAGGAAGGAATGGGTTTCGCCGAGAATGGGTGGGTTGCTGGTGGAAATTTTGGGGCATGGGTTAGGGCTAAGGTTTAGGAATCAAATTTGGAGCTGATTTGGAATTGATTTGGGGATTAGAGTTAGGATTTTTTTCTTGTACATATTTGGGGATTTTTTTGGGATCAATTTGTAATATTAATTAATTTGTAGAAATGTTTGAATATGATAAATACAAATATGAGAAATACAGTATTGATCAATCGCCGGAGCCGATCACCAGATTTTTAGATATAAATAGTAAACACGGTATTTACTAGTAAATACGATATTTATCGGTAAATACAGTGTTAAACGGTTGCCGGAGTCGGTGGTTAAATTTTCAGATAAATATGATATTTACTCGTAAATATAGTATTTACTAGTAAATATAGCGTTAAACAGTCGCCGGAATCGGTGCCTAAATTTTTGAATAAATATGATATTTACTAATAAATACGATATTTACTGGTAAATACAGTGTTAAACGGTCACCGAAATCGGTGGCCGAATTTTCAAGTAAATATGATATTTATTAGTAAATACGGTATATATTGGTAAATACAGTGTTAAATGGTCACCGGTCACCGAAAAATGGTCTTTGGTCACTGGAGCCAGCCGTCGGTCCCAGCCATGATTTAAGAGTGTGTTTTGAAGAATGTTGAGTGCCCCAAATTAATAAGGACATTTAAAATTTGAAATATAACACCCTCTTCCACATTATGTAAGTAACTTCGACAAAATATACTAAATTTTAAATGGCAATATTTGGACCATGTCATGTCCGTGCCTAAGAGTGTTTCATTTCAAAGTTTAACACCATTCATGCATTTAAAAACCACTATGAGAATTATTATTAAATTTATGATGAATCTAACTTTTAACCTTTAAATTTTGAGATCTTTTGAACTTTAAAACATCTGACTTTACCTTTTGAATTTTAAGTTAATCCCTTTAGTTACGATTTTTATTTAAAATCAGACAAAAGGATTAAGTATGGCTGCATGTTTTTTTTTTTTTCAATTTATTTTTAATAAAAATTCTAATGGAAAAACCATGTGATCATACTATCTGCTTTTCCTATTAGTTTTGACAACAAATTTAATAGATTAAATTAAAAATCTAATGACAAAGTAGGAGTTTTTTTTTAAAGTTAGGAAGGCAAATTGAAAATGATTATTTACATTTAAAAGATAATAATCAATAACTAAAAGTCCAATAGTCAAAATACAAATTTAACCTGTTTTTCAGTTGCGCACTACACATATAAGGTTTGCTTGTGAGAGTCCAGACTAGAAACACAGAATCATATACAAGGAAAAATCGTCCCGTATTACCAAGAGATCAGGCATATATATATAACATATATCTAGCAAAACACCAATATCCTAGGAAATTAGTTGAGACTTGTAAATACTGCACAAAACATGAAGAAGAACAATGAGAAAAATCACCTCTATTGCTTCTTCAATGGCTTAGGACTCCATAGGCATCTCACCGGAGCTCGGAACTGGCCGCGGTCATCCAAGAAGAAAGCTGCAGCCACCACTTCTGCCATCTTCTTGTTCTCTCTCTTTTTCCTTGTCTTGGTTTCTGCAGGCTGGATTGATGCTGTAAGTCAAAACTATATTATACATACATATAAATACTCACAATATTAGTGTCATGAAATTTTGTGGTATCTACAAAATTTTGCAGTTACTTATCGTTAAATTTGTGTACTGTTTGATTTTGACGTATTGATATGATACGCCTTTAATTCAAGCAAAAAAAAGAAAAAAAAAAAAAAAACATAGCAGCTATTACGTATATATTATCTACAGAAATATGCTAAAATTTCATGTAAATATCTTTTTATTTTTATTTTTATTTTTTTGCAGTCTTTTTTCTTGGCTATTTCCTCTAATAAATCACTCTTAGCACTAGTACCAGTAAAACCCGAATTCCCCCTGACTTGCACCAAAGGAAACGCAACAACATGTCCAAGAAACTACCCGACTTCATTGTACAACCATACATTAAATCCTAGCAGTCCAATAACATCAAAGAATGTCACATGCCCGTCATACTTCCGGTGGATCCATGAAGATCTTAGGCCTTGGAAAGAGACTGGAATAACCAAAGACATGGTGGAGAGGGCACGCCGATCGGCCCATTTCCGGCTTGTGATCGTCGATGGGAAGGCCTACGTTGAGAAATATAGGCAGTCACTACAAACTAGGGACATGTTTAGCATATGGGGAATTTTGCAGCTCATGAGGTATTACCCTGGTAGATTACCTGATTTGGACCTCATGTTTGACTGCGACGATCGACCGGTGGTTAGAGCGAAGGATTTTCGGGGACCCAACGCCCGTCCCCTACCGGTCTTTCGGTATTGTTCCGATCAATGGAGCTTGGACATTGTGTTTCCGGATTGGTCTTTCTGGGGCTGGTAAGCTTAATTTTGTCCGTAACTCTCTTTTTTGCCTTGTTGGAGGTGATTGTGTGTCTAAATTTTTCTCTTTTTTTTTTTAGCTTGTGTTATGTTTGTGTGACTCATGGGGGTACCATACAATTTAATTTATACAAGGAAAATTAGGCCTAGATTTTGATTCATATCCTCTCCTTGGAACTGAAAATGCTTTTTAGCTATTGAATTATAGGGAAATGATGATATAGGGTTAAAAGAACAGGAATTTTCATAATAGAAACTGTCTTTTATCCCTACCGGAAGGAGCTGTGTTTTATGCTATTCTATTCTAACATAGAAGTTACAAATATATATATATATATATATAGCTAAGAAAATTTTCAATCCAAAGAGAAGAGGGAGGTCATGGAGAAGGTATCTTGCTGATGTGTCCTTCTACGTCATTACGAAATAGAGTTGACAATTGGCGATCTTAAACACGTAAGAATTTTTTGAGACAGTAAAACTACTGATTTTATAGTAAAACTATCCCGGTGCCGCCGATTTTTATTAGATTTTGTTAATTTGTACATTTTTGTGTGATCTTAGAACTTATATGATTTTCTTAATTTATATGTCAACTAAATTAGAACTTACTGTAAACTTACCACGCCATTAATTTTGTAAGCCCCTGATTTTACAGCACGCTGTTTTTTTTTTTTTTTTTTTTTTTTTTTTAAGAAAATATTGTAAATGGACTAAATCAACTTCTTTTGGTAGGGCTGAGTGCAATATAAAACCATGGGAAGATGTGTTGGCGGACATAAGAGAAGGAAATAAAAGAACAAAGTGGAAGGACAGGGTACCCTACGCTTATTGGAGAGGTAACCCAAATGTGGCTCCAACTAGAAGGGACCTTCTCAAATGCAATGTTTCCCCAAAAAATGATTGGAACACACGCCTCTATATTCAGGTAATATTTTCTCTCATTGTTTTTCCTATCAAATGTTTAATACTATATTTACTTTACAAAATTTTAAACAATAATCATTGCATGAAGTCAATCAGTAACCTTCAAAAATAACCTTCCTGATTACCGGATACTCACTGCACCCCATCAACAATGTGATTGAAAAATCAAAGCTGCATAACTTGGACAAGATTTTATGGAAATGAGAAATTTCATTTTATATATTATCATTTCAGAGTTGGGAAGAAGAGAAGAAACAAGGGTACAAGGAATCGAATTTACAGGATCAGTGCACCCACAGGTAAATTTTCAAAATTTAAAACTCTTTTCATACAAACATTCTTTTTAATCATTTTCCACGCTTTACTAGCTATTTGTTTTTTGGGTTAATCTCACAAATACTTTTTAAATGCATCCTCAATCTCAGTTCGGTTCCTAATTTTTAAAATGTCCTAAACTTCATATTTGATCTAACGATTTATTTCAATTTCATATTAGTCTTTGATTTTCTTTTTTTTTTTATGGGTTTTTGGTAGTCTAACAAATTGCCCCATGAACTTTTAATTTTGATAAGTTGCCTCCCGAACTTGAAAATTTGTTGTAATGTGCCCCATTTAACTATATTTGCTCAAATTTTTTATTAGATTTTAAGGGATTAAAAGTTGAGATATTAAAATATGTGTTACATTTGAATTGAAATGTTGAAATATTTGGCTGCACGTATTTTGTTGACACTAATTTAACACATTCGTCATCAAAATGGGGCATATTGCAACAACTTTACAAGTTAAGCAGGTAACTTACCAAAATTAAAATTTTGAGAGGTAATTTGCTAAACGACGGCAAGTTTAGAGGGGTAAATGTGCTAAAAACCCTTTTTTGATTGAAAGTCCTCAATTTTCTTCAGTTGGGCATTAAAAAGATGACAAAATACACGTGATGCTGACAGAAAATAAAAATTTTGTTGTTAGAATAAGGAATATGCATATGGTTATGACGCAAAATGTAAAATAACACTGTGTTAACGGGAATCAACTTTGTAACATTTTAAAAGCTATGGACTAAAATAGAAATGATAATAAAATTCGGGGACCATACTTTTAGGATTAAGCCTTGTTTTTACACTACTGAAACAAAGTTTTTGGTTTCACAGGTATAAAATCTATACAGAAGGATGGGCATGGTCTGTTAGTGAAAAGTACATCCTAGCATGTGACTCTATGACCTTGTACATTAGGTCTCGCTACCATGATTTCTACATCAGAGGAATGGAACCATTGCAACACTACTGGCCAATCAGGGAGAACAGCAAGTGCACCTCTCTCAAGTTTGCTGTGGACTGGGGCAACAATCACACAGACAAGGTAGTATACATACATACATACATATATACATACATTATATATATATATATATAGACGCAGGAAATAGTAGAAATCTATTCACTATCTAGGAACAATAAAACTGATAGTCCACATGAGTGTAACACGGAAGTTTTAACTCCTTAAGCTTTTTTAGTTGTATATACCACTTTAGATTAATGTTTTAAACTAAATTAACATATATGATTATTTAGGAGTTAGTTTTTTGAATACTAAAAATTGCATATTTAAGCCTCTTAACTTTACTCTACTTTTACAAACATATACATTTCAGGCACAGGCAATTGGGAAGGCATCAAGCAAGTTCATACAAGAGGATATGAAGATGGACTATGTGTACGACTACATGTTTCATATCTTGAATGAATATGCAAAGCTCTTAAAATACAAACCAACCGTGCCTGCCGGAGCAGTGGAGTTATGCGCGGAAACCATGGCGTGCCCGGCGAACGGGACTTGGAGGAGTTTCATGGAGAAGTCATTGGTGAAGTCTCCTAGTGAAACTATTCCCTGCAATTTGCCTCCATATGATCCTCAGGCAGTTTCTCAATTGGTTGAGAGAAAGGCTAGTTCGACTAGGCAAGTTGAAACGTGGGAAAATGACTACCGGCAGAATCTAAATAAGAAGCCATAGAAATTAAACTACTCCTTTTGAAGATCGATTCTGCTTTTAGAGTTTTTCAATCATGTGTAACTTGAGTGGTCTCTCTCGTAATTTTTTGACATGCCTTCTAAATTCTCTTTGATGTCAATCTACTTTTTTATCCACAACGCCACATTCAGCTTCCTTATTTTTTTCTTCCATAAAATTACACATGTTTATGAGTGGTTTTGAAATATAAAAATCTTTTTTTAGAATATCTTAGAATAGCATAATTATATAATAACTACTGTAATGGTTTCAATTTTAACTATTTGTAAAGTATTCTTTTTGTTTTTTGTTTTTATCTGAAGTCTTTACCGATGAATTCTCCTTCGATAAAATAAAACTTGTCAAAAAATTGTTCATAACCCCGTTGTATGGGAAATGGGTTCAGGTGGAATTGCCTGAATGAGGTGAAAGATGTCATCACAAGGGTAAAAATATTAATGAAAAAATAACCCTAAAATACATACGTATTGTCCTAAGCATCTTCAATGTAGCATGTTGATTTAAATATTTGAGTAGCAAAGTTACTTTCTAATGCAATGATATTTTTAATGCTAAATTTGACATATGATGTAATTGATACTAAATTTGAAAGCAAGCATACAATCCACTCAATTTGACATTTAATTATAGGTGGCTAGTGTATTGACTTCTTCACTTAATAATTATAATATTGTCATTTTTTTTTAAAGAAAAAATATTAATGTAGGTTACAACCGAACCTTTATAAGTTTTAAAGCGTGATAATTATGAAAAAAAAATGAATGTAATATTTTAATAACATTATATATTGAAGAACAAAATGTAAGAGTAAATTAAACATTCAGCTTTCAAATTTTTAAATGACAAATAAAATATTGACATTTATATTGAAAATGGTCTAATTTAGAGCCCTTGAGAAAACAAAATATAGTGACCCACCGATCTTTTAAAACAAAAGGAGAACATGATTTTCTATTTTTATGATGGCATTACAAAATGAGAATTTTCTTTTCATTTTTTTTTCTTTTTTACATTTGTTTTTATTTATGTATTTATCTTTGCAGAAGGGGAAAAAAGGAAGGAAGATTTGAGCGTCTCCCTTTAGCTTTTTTCTAAATTATTAGCTTTATACGCTGTTAACGGTCAATTTTCGTCAACAAGACCGTACTAGATTACTCCGCAGTAGCCCGTTGGGTTACCAGTTTAAAACTTGTGATTTAACTGAATATGTTAGAGTTCGTATTGGTGTTTTGGATGTATTGTGAAGAAGGTGTGATAACGATTGTGAAAATAAAGACGCACAAAAATTTTATAATGGTTCACCCTTATGGAAAAAGAGCTACATCCACTGTATTATATTTCTCTCGTTTGGTTCTTACAAGTTACACAAGATGGAGAAGCATCCTCCTTTTCTCTCGGGGGCTTTGCCCCTTTTATAGCTTACAAGTTATCTCTCGAGCTCATCAACCGGTGGGCTGCTTTTAGGGCTTTCTGACGGTTCCTTCCAAGTGGCCCATCCACTCGAGTGGGCTACCATCTCGTCCGTCTAGTCCGTAGCCTGTCAGCGCTTTTTGGACTGTTCACTCATCCAATTTGTCCCCTTCCCCCCAATTACGGCTCTGTAGATCCCCTGTAATATCTATTGATCCGTTCTAGGCGGTTTAAGGGGCTTGTAATCATTCCCTGTGCAACTGACCTTCTCCAAACCCAGACGCAACCTTGGGATACCAAGCTGGTCACCTCAGAGGTCTTCCTCGGGATGTGGGTCTAATTGCTCGCGTTCTGACCTCTGCGCTTACGCCAAAAGATGCCAAGCGTGGCATCTCTCTCGGTCGATCCTATCGTGGCGCTTACACGAACTGCTTGTAGCCCTCGACCGAGTATAGGGTCGACGATATCAACCCCCTTACACACTCAGCTCTCATATCATACGGGAAGGGAAAATGTCTCAGGCGTCGAGGGCTACCTGGCTAATGCCGGTCTGTGGGAGAACTCTGCTAGGAAGTCCACCAATGCTTGTCCCTTGATCGCCGCCCTTGAAACGTATTCGATGTCGAATTAGCTCAGCTCCACCGACCGTTTCAAGAGTCGGCCTAAGGTTTCAGGTTTTTGCAACGCCTGTCTTAACGGGTGGTTCGTTAGGATTCGTATAGTGTGGGCTTTGAAATAGTGCCAAAGCTTCCTTAAGGCTACTATTAAGGCGAGAGCCAGCTGTTCCATCTGGGTATATCTTGACTCGGCATCTAAGAGTCTCTTGCTTTCGTAATAGACCGATAGCTGGACCCATTCTTCCCTGATCAGCACAGAGCTTACGGCGTGCTTCGACACGGACAGGTACAAGCTTAGCTTCTCGTCCGATATAGGTTTTGACAGGATAAGGGGTCTACCTAGGTGCTCCTTCAGCCATTGAAAGGCCTCTTAACATTGTGGTATCCACTCGAAGTGCTTACCTCCCTTCAAGGCGTCAAAGAAGGGAACGCATTTGTCCGTCGCCTTGGATATGAATTTGTTGAGGGCGGCGACACATCCTGTCAATCTTTGGACCTCTTTCGATTTCGTGGGAGACCTCATATCCTGCAAAGCCTTTGTTTTCTCCGGGTTAGCCTCTACTCCCCGGTTACTGACCATAAAGCCAAGAAACTTTCCTGATCCGACCCCAAAGGCGCATGGTTACGCCCAAACGTGTACAAAAATAAGCGGTCAATTGTAACACAATTAGGACGATCGATCCCACGAGGAGGTGACAAATTAAACAAGAAATGATTAGCAAATAAAAAGCATTAGGAGATAAACAATAAAATTGAAATAAAAGAGAATGAAATTTTTGTTGAGAAATTTAAGCGTAAGAGAAATATATGAGAAACGCATGTAATTAAAACCGGTAAGACATCAAGATTCCCCTATATGCTTGGTTCACCCGAATGGATTTTGATTTTTGAGATTAATCAATTGAAAGTTTCACATCCCAAACTAACAATCGGAAAATAAATATTTGAAGCACATGTGAATTAAAATGTATTCGAGTGAGTAAAATTCTTACGTTTAGAACTAGGAAAAATTATCTTATGAGAAATCTAAAAGCGATAATATACCGTTGGCAATATTGGTAAAAGACTACTCATAAAACAATACCTACCAATATATAGTATCATGCAACAATCACATAAAAAGAGCTTGACTAGATTTATATAAAAGTTGACAATAAAATATATCAATATGAGAAATTAGAAAAAGATAGAAGAAAATTAATCACTCAAATATATAAACTTTGAAGAACAAATGGAGAATCAAAATCCACTCAAGATCGCTTCATATATAGGTTTCTCTCTAACCTCACCAATTAGGGAAAAAAGTGTCTAAACTTAGACTAAAAATCAACCCCAATTACCTTGACAAATGCCCTATTTATAGAGTTGTTAGGCCATACCAAAAGTAACCATCAGCAACAAAATAATAAAGAAGATAAAACTAAAAATGTTTTCCTATTTAATTGAAATTTACAAGGCTTTATTTGGTGAGTAAAAGTTGATTATGGTGGGAAGAAAAACCATCACAAACGGATACAAACTGATGAATATCCTAAGTATTGTGCATAAACGGCTCGAGCAGGTGAAGAAAATGCCATGTGGCATAGTTTGATTCGTCCAGGACTGACGCTTGGAGTACGCAGATAAAAACTATCTTCGAAAGTGACACGTGGCACTGGCTGAATGGCCGACAGCTGCGTCCCACATGGACATGTGGCGGGAGTTGGTTGGAAAGCTGGTGCAAGGCGGGACCCATGCAGAGAAGAATGCAGAACCGCCTGAGTCGCGCGTGGAAGAGTCTCGTGCAGGGGGAAGGGCGTGCGCACTAATCGCGCGTGTGTACGGGGATAGCTGGGTCCCACGCGGCTGAGCATGCCAGAAAATGACACGTGGTGGCTTGGGGAACTGGCTCAGCTTAGCTCAGCTTGGCTCGGCGGGCGGCTGTTGATGGGCTTTCTCATTTTTCCTCTTTTAAGTTTTGGCCCAAATGTCTTATTTCCCTGCCCAAATGTCTTACTTCCCTACAAAATAAATTAAATTAAATTAAAATCAAATACTTTCACAAAATATTAATTCTACAAAAATATTTAATTAAAACTTAATTTATTTAGCAATTATGAACAAATTAAGTTCATTTTCATGCACTTATCAGCGCATTTTAAAGGGTTTAGCTTCATGCGATATTTCCTTAGTACGTCAAACATTTCTCCCAAATGGGTGATGTGTTGTCTTGCCTTAACACTTTTTACCAGCATATCATCGATGTACACCTCTATTGTCCTCCCGATTTGTTTAGCAAACATCTTGTTCACTAGCCTTTGGTATGTTGCCCCCGCGTTTTTTAAGCCAAAGGGCATCACCTTGTAGCAATAGAGGCCCCTGTCTGTTATGAATGATGTATGCTCTTCCTCAGACGGATGCGTCGGGATTTGATTATAAACGGAATAGGTGTCCATGAAACTTAACAACTCGTGTTCGGCAGTGGCGTCAACCATCTGATTTATTCAGGGGAGTGGGAAACCGTCTTTTAGGCAGGCTTTGTTGAGATCAATAAAATCGACACATGTTCTCCACGTCCCATTAAGTTTAATTACCAGGACAGGGTTTGAAACCCATCTAGGGTAGTGAGCCACCCTGATGAAGCCATTATTGATGAGTTTGTCAACTTCTTCCTTCAATGCCTCGTACCTCTCTGGGTTCATCGGTCGTCATTTTGGCGCTTTAGGGGATGAGTGCGGTCGACGTTCAGAGCATGGCACATGACTTAGGATTCAATGCCTTCCACGTCTGCGTGTGTCCAAGTGAACACATCCAAATTTTTGGTCAGAAAATCCTCGACCTTGATTCTGAGCGCCGAAGGTAGATCCGATCCTATCTTTAGTACCCTTGTCGGTTCCCCATGATCCACTCGGATTTCCACCAACTACTCGATTGGTTGGAACCATGTTTCTTCTGTGACTCTAGGATCTATGTCCTCGACTGGTCCCTGTTGTACCATTCTTGCCTCTTATTTCCCTGGTTGATCATACCCGCGTATGGCGTCTGAGTATGCCACTCTGGACTCGTATTGGTTGCTCTTCATTTCTCCTATGCCATTGGGGGTTGGGAACTTAACCTTTT